TAAAAAATTGTTTTTTGGAGTCATAAAGCATGTTCTAAGGACACCAGAAAAGTGCCAGCATTGTTCCCATTCTTCACATAGGAGTTCATCAAAAATTATTAAGTCTAGATACTTACTTTTAAAAATTCTGGACATAGAGACCATTTAAAAGGTTGATTTTTTAAAAAATAAAATAGTAGTATCAGTGTAACAATTACTTTTATAGATTTTATGGCATATTAAGAAGTAGAAAGAAGTGTATCACACTGATTCTAAACCAATGGGCAAAAGCTGGAAGAATTCAGAGTAGCATCAAAACCTCTAAGATAGAGTAGATTACGGGATGGAAATTTGTTCTTCTCAAGATAAGGGCTAATTTCTTGGATCACTCTTCCTTCTCCTTTTTTTTCCTCTTGTGTTTCTTATGTACACATTTCTTATTTTCAGTTCCAACTAAGTTTTCACTGCAGCAAATTCAAACAACTTTAAAAATGAAGATTCATCCTTATTTGTAAGAGATGTACTGTCCAATAGCATTAAGAGGTTTCCTCTACCATGTTTACAGGGTTCAATTAAAATCAAAAGGAAAAAAGTAACATGTGCATAATAAATACAAGATAACTTGAGAATGGGAACCTCTGTTTGGTTTAAATGTCTACTTTGAGGGCTGTATGATTGCAGACTATGTACTCCTCCATGGAGAAAAGTAAAAAAAAGTCAATGTCATATTTCCTTCACTTGTGGTTCAGCTGGTAAAGAATCCACCTGAAATGCGGGAGACCTAGGTTCTATCCCCGGGTTGTGAAGATGCCCTGAAGAAGAGAGAGAAACGCTACCCACTCCAGTATTCTGACCTGGAGAATTCCATGGACTAGTCCATGGGGTTGCAAAGAGTTGGACATGACTGAGTGACTTTCACTCACTTTCAGTACACTCTATTTACCTCAAATGTGAATTACCATCTATTTGCATTTCATAACATTTCTACATTTTCTTCAGGATTGACTGGTTTGATCTCCTTGCTGTCCAAAAGACTCTCAAAAGTCTTCTCCAGCATCATAGTTGGAAAGCATCAATTCTTTAGTACTCAGCCTTCTCAGCCTTCTAAAAATGCTGTCTTTATAAACAATTTTTATTTTCTCATTCAAATCCCAATCAAGTTAAGTGGAAGCAAGGCTGTTACTGAGACTTTGGTATGCATAAAAATCTTATTTTCATATAACCTACCCCATACCAGACGACCTGAGCTGTCTCTTGAGAAATCTGTATGCAGGTCAGAAAGCAACAGTTAGAACTGGACATGGAACAACAGACTGTTTCCAAATAGGAAAAGGAGTACGTAAAGGCTGTATATTGTCACCCNGACCCTGATGCTGGGAAAGACTGAAGGCAGGAGAAGAGAACAACAGAGGAGGAGATAGTTGGATGGCATCACTGACTCAATGGACATGAGTTTGAGTAAACTCCAATAGTTGGTGATGGACAGGGAGGCCTGGCATGCTGCAGTCCATTGGGTCGCAAAGAGTCGAACACGACTGAGCAACTGAACTGAACTGAACCCCATTGTATTATACTCACCAGCTGAAATGCCTTTAACAATCTCATCTGAAGACACCACTAGAGGAGCTTTTCTTACTAAATTCTTATTTTAATGCAAAGAGCAAATTAAACAGTACTCCATAAGAGTTGCTCATACACAGCAGCCAACTCAAGATTTGCATGAAGTATTTTTTACTTACAATTCTTCTCCTTGTTTGGCTTTCTTGTCTGACACCAGATAGACGGTTCCAAAACTTCCACTGCCAAGTTTCTGTTGAAGCATGTACCTTCTTGCGATCAAGGACTTTGGACATGTGGAAACAGCTATTGATCCACTCACACACTTAGCAGCCTCTTGGAATTTCAGCATTGCTCCAAACAAGAGAGAACTGTTTGTTTGTTTGCTTATAGAAACTCCGTCTCATTCAGGTCTCCTAGGAGATGGTCAAGTACATCCAAGTAGTACTGGTCAATGCCTTAAAGAGGAAAGATCCAGAGGTCAAATCTAATAGGTGCTGAACTATTCCTAACAAAAAATGTAAGTTTCTGATAGTGATACTGATTCCTTGATTAGTGGATTGAATGAGCCAATATTGGTTAACTTTAACTACTTGAGAAAATGTTAAAAAGTAGAGATACTGCAGATTCCAATATAAGACAGTCTTTCACAAAAACAGAGGCTTCCCTCAGATAGTTAAATTTGGCAGAAGTGAGTAACAGTCAAATTTCCCCAAAGTTCTGAGATGTTTATATGTTTTCCAATCAACAATCTGTTTAAGACTTTATACTCCCTGCCTACTTTTCAAAAAACATCCAAATAAAAGAACTTTATAATTCCCTAAAATATACACATCTGCATCAAGTTTTATGTAATTCTTTCTTTCCACCTTATGTCTAATTTTTTTTAACATGGGCCATTTTTAAAGTCTTTATTGAATTTGATACAATATTACTTCTGTTTATGTTTTCAGTTTTTTGGTACAAGGCATGCAGGATCTTAGCTACTGCAGCAAGGCTCAAATCTGCACCCCCTGCGCTAGAAGGAGAAGGTTTAACCACTGGACCACCTGTAAAGTCCCTTATGTCTGTTTTAACTAACAAATGCTGCTGCTGCTGCTAAGTCACTTCAGTTATGTCCAACTCTGTGCGACCCCATAGACAGCAGCCCACCAGGCTCCCCGTTCCTGGGATTCTCCAGGCAAGAATACTGGAGTAGGTTGCCATTTCCTTCTCCAATGCATGAAAGTGAAAAATGAAAGTGAAGTCGCTCAGTAGTGCCTGACTCTTCGCGACCCCACGGACTGCAGCCTACCAGGGTCCTCTGTCCATGGGATTTTCCAGGGAAGAGTACTGGAGTGGGTTGCCATTGCATTCCCCGAACAAACTGGTTGTTAGGATTAAACCACAAATTAGCATGATACTGGTTTCTTTTGATTTTTTTTCCTGTAGATTTTAAACCAGGATATTTGCATTTGTTATTATAGATGTGAAGAGGGATATGGATTTGAAATGAATTTTCTCCCATCCCAAGCAAATTCTGATCCAGTTTCTGAAGTTTTTTTTTTTATTATACACACCGTGTATAGAATAATCTCCCTGGATTGAAAACAAGAAGTTTCACAAATGCAGTTCAAATCTAAAACTGTATTTTTATTAACTGAATATAAATTTGTTATAGGTAAAGCTGTAATTCCTCAAGAAACTATATATGCATAGGAGAATTATGAAAAGCAGGACTGTTTCATATGAGTATGTGCATGGTAAAATCACTTTTATTTCATCAAAATGAAAAATGTTTTGCTAATAATTATGAAAAATGAGTTTTATTTTAAATTGCTAAGAAAGCATGATTTTAAATTGCATACTGGGCCTTGGAGTCAGATCAGTCCATATTCAACAATTCCAAAGCTATAAAACAAAAACCTTTTGTGCATAATGAGAAGACAAAATGTTACCTGTGTAGTTTGAGGTGTATGGCCAATGGGCTTCATCATGGTGGTGGCCAATTACAAACATCCTTGGAATCGAACATAAACAAGGAAATGTCTGTTTATACCACTTCCTTTCATGAAATAATTTATTAATAAGTTAAGTTTTTCCTAATGCCGGTGAGAAGGAAAACTAGTAACCAGAGAAGGATGGAAAGAAGGAAGGAAGCAAAGAAGGCAGAGAGAGAGGGAAGGAGGAGGCAAATCACCTAAGTGGCTAGGTGGTCATGATAATACTAAAACACATTGGACTGGAACTTCAGAGCTGGGGCCCATACCTTGAAATCCCTATATTATGTGGGATTATCAAGATCACAGAAAATATTAGTGAAATCTACTGATGAAAAAACAACTGCAGAACAGGACTCCCAATGTATCTTTTTTTGCTTCTGATCCCATAGAAGTGATGCTTTCTGGCCAAATGAAGCTGTTAAGAAAAGTTCATGGACTCACAACCTTTTCAACTGAAAACAGCCTTTTAGTAATCCTCCTTATCGGAGAGATGAGATAAAGGTCCCGGCCTAGGGAAGGTCAGAATAGTTCTGAGGAAGTCCAATTTCCCAGGAATTCTCATTTGTAAATGAGCATTTAAGCCCAGCAGTGTCTCGGCGATGTGGCCAGGGCTACAGATGACTTCCAGACTAAGCTCCCTCCAGCCCAGCCTCTCAGTCACAATCCGCCGCCCCCTCCCCAGGCCCACCTTGGCCCGCTGATTTCATCAGTCTCCTCTGTGCGACTGGACAGCCACCTGAGAACTGGTGAGTGTCCCCTTCACCCCACCTTACAGAGGCCATGAAGGAACCCAAGTGCAAGGAACACACCTTTCTGTGTCCTCGGCGACTGGCACAGCGTAGGTGTTCAGTGAACTCTGTCAGAGCAGACAAATGTCCAGCAAACCACCTGCTACCCAAAGTGTGTTTGATGGGATAAGGGAGATAAGCGTCTGAAAGCTGCACATTGACTCTTGGGGGGGAACTGTGTGGCTGGCAGTTATATCAATCTCGGCTCAGTAACAAGAATGGAGAAGAAGCATATCTGACACCAGATTCTGCTAAAGTAGGAATCTAACCTTAAGGGAAACTTTAACCCTAAGGTCAAACGAATAATTCCTTGCCTTAATTTTTTTTAATTTACATTTTCTCATAGCAGCTTAACACAAACGGAGTAGGCACGAGCCACACATCCTCTCGGGGCTGGAGCAGGCCCAGAAGGTTAAGAGCCAAGAGAAGTGAGGGGACGCGAATTCGGAGTTCCGGAGAGGCGGCCCTGAAATCATCATGTTCCCGGAACGCCCGCGCGCCCTGAGGAGTCTCCCCGTACCTTTCCGGGTGGAGGGCGAGGGTGCGTCGCGCACTCCCAGGGTCCCTCCAGTAACCCGGAGGCCTGAGGCGCCGCCTCACACCTCGACTGCCAAGCCGGCCGAGCTAGACCCCCAGACTGCGTGGGCCGTTGCCAAGGAGACAGCGCGGGCCATACCAGGAAGTCGGGCGCGGTTGCTGTGCGCCGTTGCCAGGAAGCAGGCGCGGGGCACATCGGGAAGTTGCGGAGGCGGGCCCTAGCTGGTCATTTAAGCGGAAGTGTGCGCAGACCCCCACGTGGGCGGGGAAAAGAAGGCGGGTCTTGCGGGCCCTGCTACCCTAGCCTACCGGCAACCATACGGAGCGTGCTTCCTGAAGGACCTGGCGCGAGGCCTGGAGACCCCTCACAACCCGCGGAGTCTGCGCCACTGACTTCCGGGAACCGGGCTCTCCGTGACGTCAAACGCGGAGACTTCCGTTTCCGCTCGGGCGGCCTGGCTCAATTGCTAGGTCCTCCAGTTCTCGCCGGATTCCCGCGGGTCCTCGCAGAGGGCCAAGCAGGTGGCAGCTGCCAGCCTGGGGCCCGGGTGTTGAAGGCCCGTGTTTGAGGACTTGGAGCTAGACCATTCGTGCGCCCTCCTATCCAACACTAATTTGTTGAACATCTACTCTGCAAGATGCTGTAACTAGCCTGGGATGAGTTAATGTGGTGTCTACTTTCATTTGCTTTAGAAGACAGACTTGCAGAGAAGTAGGTACCCTACAGGGTAAGGTGTTGAGACGCACAGGGACAATACTGGGGTGAAGTGAGTTGGGCACTGAATGCACGAGGAAGCCCCAAAACTCTGTAATCAAGGTAAATTCTAACAGTTTCTTTAAAAATCAAAACTAACGCAAAGGAAAGAATCCATGTTTGACAAAATCTCACAGTTTTAAATAAACACAGCATTAGTAACCGTGCATTGCTGAGCCATATTGGAGCCTGAGGCCAAAGGAGAAACTAGCAATTCTTACCTGGGATTTAGCTGGTTGGGGAAAGATAAGTTCAGTAATCTGGCAGATATGCAGAGACAGATGAGAAGAGTCCCTTGTTAGGGTGAAACTGGAGAATTCAGTTCCTCCCGGCTTGAAACTTGGAACTATGCTAATTAAGACAGGCCCTTGAGCCAAGGCCTCAAAGAAATTCTCACACTCTGATTATCAAAATAGAAAAACTGGATCCATATCAGGGACCCTGCACACTAGTTAACTGAAGCCTATGTTTTCTGATTTATTAAGCGATCGAGGTTATCATTTTTATAGCTTAGGACTTTTAACCCCACAAAACAAATATTCTGTGTTGTAGGATGATGACTGTCTCACTAGTAAAGTCTGCAGAAGTTCGGTACGTCGGTAGCCTCTATCTCTGTCCAAAGAGCAGATTCCACGAAACCATTGAATTTGTACCTTGTAACACTTGGGGAAAGCGAGAGAGAATGAAAAAGAACTCAGCTAGGCGGTGTTGGCTCAGAATCTAGGTAAGAGCTAAGGTGCTGACACCTAATGTGTTCTATTTAAAGATTTCTTCATAACCTTTTCTATTCAATTGATGGTGCTGGAAACAGTAACTTTGTTCCCCATCTGTGACATCAGTTAAAAATGTGTTCTCTTGTTTTAAATAGGCAATTCTTCAGACGATCATGGGTATCCGAGGACTAATGAGTTTTGTAGAAGATCATAGTAATGAGTTCTTCACTGATGTTAAGTTGCGAGACACAAAAATTATCATTGACGGCTATGCCCTCTTCCACCGGCTTTACTTCAATTCAAACTTGGAGCTGCGGTATGGAGGGGACTATGATTCTTTTACAGATGTTGTACAAAAATTCTTTGAATCACTATTTGCTTGTAAAATCTGTCCATATGTTGTCTTAGATGGAGGATGTGACATTTCAGATAAGAAGCTTAACACTTTAAAGGATCGAGCTAGGGAGAAGATCCAGATGGCCCATTCCCTTTCTGTTGGCGGGGGTGGGTATGTGTGCCCCTTACTCATCCGAGAGGTGTTCATACAGGTTCTGATCAAGCTGCAGGTATGTTTCGTCCAGTGCTTTTCGGAAGCAGATCGGGACATCATGACCCTTGCTAATTACTGGAATTGCCCCGTGTTATCGTCCGATAGTGACTTTTGCATTTTTGACCTGAAAAGTGGGTTTTGCCCATTGAATGGCTTTCAGTGGAGAAATATGAACACCATCAAGGGCACACGAGACTGCTACATCCCTGCCAAGTGCTTTTTCCTCGACACACTGTGCTGTCACTTTGGCAATATGAACAAAACGCTGCTGCCTCTTTTTGCGGTGCTGTGTGGAAATGACCACGTTAATCTGCCTGTCATGGAGACGTTCTTGAGTAAAGTACGACTCCCTCTTGGGGCTGCCAGTTCTAAGGGTAGGAGACATCACCGGGTGCTGGGACTTCTAAATTGGTTGTCTCGTTTCGCTGACCCTACCGAAGCATTAGACAGCGTTCTGAACCATCTCCCCAAAAAGAAACGAGGAACTGTGAAGGCACTTTTGTGCAGCTCCATGGAGGAGTACCTACAGGCCCAGGGAAGGCTTCAGGACTTCTTCCAGCATGGTGCTTACACCTGCCCAGACACCTGGAATCCCGGTTTACCACCGTGGGTGCTTGCGGCCTTAGCCAGGGGCCAGCTGTCCCCTTTCATTAGCGATGCTCTAGTGCTGAGACGGACCATTCTCCACACACAGGTGGAAAACATGCAGCGACCAAACGCCCACAGAATCTCTCTGCCCATCCGGCAAGTCATCTATGGACTCCTCGTGAATGCTCCTCCACATGTGCGTAATGTGGCCTGGGATGCACTGCCTCCTCAGCCTCCAACTTTCAGCGAAGTGGAAAGGATTAATAAGAATATCAAAACATCAATTGTAAATGCAGTAGAACTACCCAAGGATCATTCTGACTTAAGCAAATTGACTGAGGTAAGTGTTTGTAATACCACCGCAATTTCTATAAATTACAGTTTACAAAGTGCTTTCATATGTATTAGCTCTCAATATAACAAGCTGAAGTCGGTTGCTATATTGCCTCTATTTCGTAGCTGAGAAAACTAGGACTCTAAGTAAGTAACTGTGAATCATCAGCCAGGGAGTTATCCATGCTAGGCCTCAAACCTGGATCCTTCAGTACCAAATTTACCATTTCCACTGTATTTAGGTAGCATGTGTTATCTTTGTGGTTATTACTACTGGAGTGTTGTTAACTAGCTAGTAATAGAATGGAGTTAGTGACTAAAAATGAAAGGGAAGAAAATTCTGAGCTTCAGAAAAAGGAAAGTTTGCCTTCAGGCCTTGACCAAAGGCATAACTAATATCTCAGACTGCACTGAATTGCAATTAACAAAATTGATACTGATGCTTGGACCTAATTTTTCATGTTTATTGATGAGAACCGTTTTTTAGAGTTGAGGTTTATGGCATCAGGATGATTTGCTTAGTTTGCTACTGAAAACATGAGTCTTAACCTAACTCATTGTTGCTTAAATCTGAATAGCAGACCAACCCCCTTTTCAAGTTAAAAGAAAGTCTCATGGATCCCTGTCTTTACTTTGTTTTTTAGTAATATTACATAAATATATGGAAAATTACAAATAGGTATGAAGCTGCTTGTCTTTACAAATTAAATGCGGATAAATTCACAGTTCCAATTGCAATACTTATTTGATGGCTCAGATGGTAAAGAATCTGCCTATAATGCAGGAGATGTGGGTTTGATTCCTGGGTTGGGAAGATCCCATGGAGAAGGGAATGGCCACCCCCTCCAATATTCTTGCCTGGAGAACCCCATGGACAGAGGAGTTGGCTGGCTACAGTCCATGGGGTCACACAGAGTCGGACATGACTAAGCGACTAAGCACATTAGATCCAACTCAGTATTCAGACTCAGGAATCTCCCAGGCCACTCCAAGTGCCTGTCAGCTCCAGGATATAGGACCTCATGACAGCATCCCCAGGGGTTTGAATCAGGAGCTGGAGTCCTCCCAAGATTATAGACCATTGATTCTCCGTGGGGGGTGATTTTGCCCCCAGGTGACACTTGGCAATGTCAGGGGACAGTTTAGATTGGTAGTACTTGGGGAAGAGGCCTGTTGCTACTACCGTCTAGTTAGGAGAGGCCAAGTATGTTGCTGAACATCTTATATTTGGCAGAACAGCACCCTCAACCGAAAATCATCCAACCCAGAATAGGTGCTGGACAGGTGACCTGCACAGGTGACCTACACTTTGCCTACAGGTGACCAGGAACCCTTTTAGCTTTCCCATTGGTAACAGCTCAGGCAGGATGACTAGGATTCACATCGGTGGGTCCAGGAGCCTTCTTGGCAGTGAGGAATGACTTCCAATGGGAAAAGGTTTCTTTCTGGGGTGATGAAATGTTCAGGAATTAGTGATGGTTGCACGTGCTTATTGCTAGTGGTAAAGAACCCATCTGCCAGTGCAAAAGGCTTAAGAGACCCAGGTTCGATCCTTGGGTCAGGAAGATTCCTTGGAAGAGGGCATGGCAAATGTATTCCCCATCCCGGTCCCCCCTCCCACCTCCCTCTCCACCCGATCCCTCTGGGTCTTCCCAGTGCACAGTCCAACTTCTCCCATCCATACATGACTATTGAAAAAACCATAGCTTTGACTAGACAGACCTTTGTTGGCAAAGTAATGTCTCTGCTTTTTAATATGCTGCCTAGGTTGGTCATGGCTTTTCTTCCAAGGAGCAAGCGTCTTTTAATTTCATGGCTACAGTCACCATCTGCAGTGATTTTGGAGCCCTCCCCCCAAAAATAAAGTCTTTCACTGTTTCCACTGTTTCCCCATCTATTTGCCATGAAGTGATGGGATCAGATGCTATGATCTTAGTTTCCTGAATGTTGAGTTTTAAAGCCAACTTTTTCACTCTCCTCTTTAAAGGCATGGCATGGCACAAATAAACTAAAACCATTTTAAAGGGGTGAATTTTATGACATGGGAATTATATCTCAATTAAAGAAGGAAAAAGTTCCATTGGCCTGCTTCCCCACAGGATCTAATCTTTCTTGTAACAATTCCATATACATAACTTCTGAGGCCCCTGCAAGGGACATGCCTGATTACAAGTCACCATGCTCAGGGAAGCCCAAGACTGGACATCCACATCTGGTGTGTACAATTCATTTATCATTTAAGTCTAGATGCAACTTTACAAGAGACATTCTCATCATGTTAAGTAGCACAACTGACTAGAGTTGAGCATAGGTCAGATTCCAAACAGGGATTTATTAAAACTTTACCCATACCAATAAAAAAAAAAGTGCAGTTAGCACCAGTGTGGCTATTAGCATGACTGATGGTGTCCTGGATCCTTATAGCTCTTCCTGTTCTTCCGCTGACCCTTTCCCGGGAGTGTACTGGAGGGCCATCAGTCACTCCTCTGTCATAAGGGCTCTGTGGTTAATAGGGACTTCTTAAAAATCATTAGGACCAGGTGGCCTCTATGCTGTGCTAGTCACGAACAATGGAAATCTTTTCTGAAGCAGTCTGACTCTGCCCATGAAACCAGTTACCCATTCATGAATTTTGACTTAGGAATGCATACCCTGTTTCCAAGCACCCACCCCCAGGTTAACTATAAATTGTCCCAATGGCCCCTGCAAATGCTTCTGATCGATTGTTATCCACCAGATCCTGATTCCACCCTGAGTGAGTTACCGAATAATAAACCAATCCACTGATTATATGGAGCCACATGCCTCATTTTTCAGTCTCAAGATGCCTTCTCATTCCCTCCATCCTCCAACAGCAACATTCTAAAGGATGCATTGCTGAAATTACATTTCTACTCACAACATAAATGGTGCCATGTTGGAGGCCATTTTTTTTTAATCTATGGCTTTATTGAGAAGTAACTGATGTACAATGAAACGTCTGTTTTAAGTGTGCACACGCTGATGAGTTTCGATGTACATTTACATCCGTGAATCCATCCTACAATTAAACTAATGAGTGCATCCATCAGCCCTAAATATTTCCTTTGCCTCTTTGCCCTTCATCCTTCCCTGAGTGTGTCCACATAGCAAAGTGCACAGATAATTTATACCTTGATGAGTTCTGACCAGCTTAACAGTTCCACATAAGGAGAACCCAGGTGAAGACTCATTTTCAGCACCCCTGCTTGCCCGTGTGGCTCCGGTCACTCTTGCCCTCACTTCTTGTAATCTTTGTCTTGATCTCTAACAACGTTGAATAGTTACTTTTTACACTTTATAAATCATCTGTCTTCTTTTATTCAACATGATGTTCATGAGATTAATGAGATTCATTCATATCACTGTGTGTAGTTGCAGATCATTCATTTCTCATTGCTGTGTGCTTTTACATTGAGGGAATATGCCCCAATTGATTTTTCTAGCTATTTTTTTTATTAGCTGATGGGCATTTGGGCAGTTTGTAGTTTAGGCTGTTATGAATAGTGCTATGAATGTCTGAGTGCACAGCATTTAGTAAAAATATGGTCACATTTCAACAGAACCTGACAATTTCACGTTGTCATACGTCCCAGCTATTCCCTTCCTGGTTATACGCCAACTAGGCATGGAGCAGCTGGGACGTAAGACACACATGTGTTCAGCCTAGGAGATTGCCAAGTGCTCTTGCACAGTGGTTTCATCAATAAATATTCCCACCAGCAGTTTATGGGCATTCCTCTGACTCTACACCGTTACCCTTACTTGGTGTCTTCTATCCTTTTAAAAAATTTTAGCTATTCTTATGGTTGCCATCATTTTAGCCAGTTTGATGGGTGTTAATTTGCATTTCTCTGATGACTTATTTTAACCCTTTTCATGTGTTCATTGGCCGTGTGCATATTCTGTTAAGCTTCTATTTAAAGTCTTTTCCGTATTCCTGTTTTTTGGTTTATTCCTATATACAAGTCCTACATCAAATAACATGCATTGTGGGGAGTATACTATGGATTGCCTTTTCACTCTAGTATGTTTTCATGAACAGAAATTCTTAATACACTCTAAAATTTCATTATTTATGCCTATCACTTTTGTGACCTACTTATTGCTGGCTCCAAAGTCATGAAAAAAATTTTTGCTTTTCACATTTAGATCTGAAATCTACCTGGAACTGCTATTTGTGTGTGTGTGTATCGTATGACACAGGGGTTAGGACACTTTTCCGGCCTGAAAACCAAGTTGAGTCAATGAGTGCAGTGTGATAATACTCCTGGCTCAGTGGAGGTGACAGGTATTCTCATCATGTACCTGTATTCAAAGTGAGGGGAGATTTTAGTTGTATCTGCAGTGATGTCAGTTGGGTTTCCATTGGCATAGTCAATTCTGTATTCTAATTCAGTGCTGTTAGCTCTGATTAGCCCACGATAATTCTAAAGGGTATCAGTGCAGATGTGATTCCAGAGATGTGAAGTTCACATATGGAAACTTTGTGATAGTATCTGTTCATTTTGTTTGCTTAACATGATGTGGCAATAGTACTTCACCTGGGATTTACCTGGTGGCCCAGTGGTAGGGAATTCTGCCTTGCAGTGCAAGGGATGCAGGTTTGATCTCTGGTCCGGGAAGATTCCACATGCTGCAGTTAAGCCTGCATGTCACAAGTGAGACTCGATGCAGTCAAATAAATATTTTTTTTTTTTAGTTTAAAAAATAATACTACTTCATCTGCTCTGTGCCAGCTCTTGTAATAGAAACGTTACACAATCTCTTATTTAGTTTCCACAGTAACCACATAGGATAGAGTTTCCATTTTCACCATGTTACTTGCGGTGGACAGAGCACCATTCAAGTGAACCCTCAAGAAGCTATCCATAAGGCGAGATGGAAGGGATCATTCTTGAAGAGTAAGGCAGTGTGCCAAGACCAGCCTCTCTCCTCTGCCTCTGTGGCAGTTTCTTCTGCAGATTTGTCAACGTGGGATGAACCCTCACTAGATTTAAGGGCTGTGAGCAGAGCAGTTCCCCGTTGGGAAGGGAACATGGATGAGTGAGTCTTAAGAAACATCTTGTATAACTCATCCTAGTGTCCATTATACAGATGATCAGACCTGACTGTAGAAAAGCTCAGAAACTTGCTCACGGCTGCAAGTTAGTGAGGGGAGAACCTGTCTAAAGTCAAAGCCCAGACTCTTCTTGGTTCATAAAAGTTGTAGCTTGGCTAGAGAATTCAATAATTTAAGCATTATGTCAGAAAAGAATTCATGTATTTTCTTAGCTTTGCTTGGTATATCCTTTTGTCAGTTTAGGAGATTATGAGGAATATATTTAAATTTGAGTAATTAATGCTACTTCCCAAAGGGGTGGTTGGCTGTGCTGTGAACCTCTTTGTGTACTTCTAATTTTAAAAATTTCATCAGAGTATTCAGTTATTAAAACCAGTACCTATAAATCATTGTATTAAAGCTGTCATACACTGACAATGAAACTGTTTTGTCAGTTACAATGTGGTTTACTTCAAGGTAAAGTCTCCATTTTCAGCTGTCAACACACTTACTTACTGGCAAGGCATTATATGCCAAGAAATGTGCCAGGCAGTCTCATCTTTCCAGAAAATTAAGAAGGAAGTCTTTTCTGACTTTGTGCAGACACCAGTAATACAAACTATTATTTTTCCTCTCAGAGTTTGATGGTGAAGTCACCCTGAGGTGCTCTTTTAATAGTCCTAATTTCCTTATCTGTGAAACTCCGTGACCTGCAAGGTCCCTTATGTTTCTCAAGTTTTAAGAAAACCATCCTTCAGTTAAAAAAGAATAAAAATTGAAAAGAAAGAAAAAGAAAAGATATTCATTAAGTTAAAATTATTTCAACCAGAAGCCTGAAGCTGTCACAGCTTGTTACTTCCTTTTATGTGAAACTTGGAGTAAAAGTTGGTGTGGTGAGTTACTAGCAGAATGCAGGCAGTCCTTAAATATTCCTGTTCCCCTGGAATATACCCGCCACTAGAAGTGGCCATCCTGGGGCAGTTCTCTGTGGGCGAAAACAGACAGTAAGACATACATTTGAGTCAGGACCCAGACCAACAGAAGGCTGCGTGGGATGCTGCAGAGGTGCACGTCGTCCCAGTCTGCCTTCCAGAGGTGGTCAGTGATGCCCTCGTGGAGGAGGGGACCGCACAGTCACTGGCAGGTAAGGGTAGGCTTGAATGTAGAAGTGTTAAAATGCATATTTCTGGGCTCCCCTCAGATTTACTGAATCAGTTTTAAGGGATGGGGCCTGAGGATTGTTTTCACTAGCTTTCCAGGTGACAGGCACAGTGAAGATAACCAGCAGACCACACGGGTTGTGGACTGGGGCGTGGACTGACGCGAACAAGGACGGCGGCACGTCCAGCCAGTCACCAAACTTATGCCACCCCTCATGAAGGTTCTAAATGCTTTAAGTGGGGCTGATTTTTTTTTCCACAGGAAGATAAGAAATTGACCTAGTTTCATTTGCATGAAAGTGTCTTCATACTAGGAAAAAAAAAAAAAGACATTCCCCAAAGTAACTTTCAGAATGTCTGGTGTGTGTTTTCAGCTCTCCTTGGCTAGCCGGCAGATGCTTCTGTTAGAAACGCTGAAGGTGAAACAGAGCCTCCTGGACCCAGTCCCTGCCGCGCTGAAGTTGCCTGTCGCTGTCAGCTGCTACTGGGTGCAGCACGCAGAGGCCACGCTAAAGCTGCATCACCTACAGGCCCTGTTGCTGGGGATGCTGCTGGGGCCCTTGCGTGCCATGGTCAGCAGCCCTGGTAGGTACCTGAATGATACAGGAGTGTGTCTTCATGAGTTATGTGCATATAATCAACAGCTGAAACAAACAAAAGTTCCCAGATTATTTACTCCCATCAGTTGTATCAGAACTTAGAAGTTGGGCACCCAGACATCTCTGATTCCTTATCAGTCTTCCTGAGCACCACATGTGCCTTGACCCCAAGGGTACAGCAGTGAAGATGTGCTGATGCTGCCTCCCCTGCCTGCCCCACAGCACCTGAGGCTGAGTCTTGAAAGCATGACTATCACGTGCATTTTGTACTCCATATTCCCGGTCCCTCTTCAGTGGGGCAGGAGTATCTCCCCTGGAGACTTAACGTCACATTGCCCATTAGTGGAACTTCTGAACACCTACAATAACAGTAACCGTTAATGCTTGTACTGTTGTTGCTTGTTTTTTTCTCCACTGCAAGTTTCTGTTAGTATAATGATGGCAGAAATAGTAATTTCTATAAGAGAACTACACTTTAAGGCACTTTCATCTTCATTTAAACACCAGGTGAAATAAATACTGAAGCATTGGAGCCTGTCAATCCTCTAATGAAATTACTCTTTGAACAAGATTATGACCTTTATCCAACATGTAAAATAGTTGTCACACTCTGGAACAGCACTATCTAACATGCTAGCTGTGAGCCACATGTGGCTATTTAAAGCTGAACATTCAGCTTCTCAATGAACTCACATTTCAAATGCCCCAGAGCCACAAGTGGCTAGAGGCTTCTGTACTGGACAGCACAGATGTAGAACATTCCCATCATTGCAGGAAGTTCTGGACAGCACTACTCTGACATTTGCTATTTAAATTAAGTCCATGAAACGATGAGCCAACAGACTCCAGGACACCCCAGGAAGAATGTCTGGTGTGTGTTTTCAGCTCTCCTTGGCTAGCCGGCAGATGCTTCTGTTAGAAACGCTGAAGGTGAAACAGAGCCTCCTGGACCCAGTCCCTGCCGCGCTGAAGTTGCCTGTCGCTGTCAGCTGCTACTGGGTGCAGCACGCAGAGGCCACACTAAAGCTGCATCACCTACAGGCCCTGTTGCTGGGGATGCTGCTGGGGCCCTTGCGTGCCATGGTCAGCAGCCCTGGTAGGTACCTGAATGATACAGGAGTGTGTCTTCATGAGTTATGTGCATATAATCAACAGTTGAAACAAACAAAAGTTCCCAGATTATTTACTCCCATCAGTTGTATCAGAACTTAGAAGTTGGGCACCCAGACATCTCTGATTCCTTATCAGTCTTCCTGAGCACCACGTGTGCCTTGACCCCAAGGGTACAGCAGTGAAGATGTGCTGATGCTGCCTCCCCTGCCTGCCCCACAGCACCTGAGGCTGAGTCTTGAAAGCATGACTATCACGTGCATTTTGTACTCCATATTCCCGGTCCCTCTTCAGTGGGGCAGGGGTATCTCCCCTGGAGACTTAACGTCACATTGCCCATTAGTGGAACTTCTGAACACCTACAATAACAGTAACCGTTAATGCTTGTACTGTTGTTGCTTGTTTTTTTCTCCACTGCAAGTTTCTGTTAGTATAATGATGGCAGAAATAGTAATTTCTATAAGAGAACTACACTTTAAGGCACTTTCATCTTCATTTAAACACCAGGTGAAATAAATACTGAAGCATTGGAGCCTGTCAATCCTCTAATGAAATTACTCTTTGAACAAGATTATGACCTTTATCCAACATGTAAAATAGTTGTCACACTCTGGAACAGCACTATCTAACATGATAGCTGTGAGCCACATGTGGCTATTTAAAGCTGAACATTCAGCTTCTCAATGAACTCACATTTCAAATGCCCCAGAGCCACAAGTGGCTAGAGGCTTCTGTACTGGACAGCACAGATGTAGAACATTCCCATCATTGCAGGAAGTTCTGGACAGCACTACTCTGACATTTGCTATTTAAATTAAGTCCATGAAACGATGAGCCAACAGACTCCAGGACACCCCAGGGTGTGAGAGCAGCTGTCAGAAGGGACTACTGCAAAGCAAGTAAGTTCCGGCCTGCTACCAGTTAGGACAGAAGTTAGGGTGTTTCCCCCCAGTGAATATAAACATAGTTTAAGAAGATTGTCAGAGCACCAGCCTATTAGGTTTCTGCCTCAGTCCAACAGAAGAGGCGTGTCAAGGGTCTGTCTATTTTCTCTGAGGCATGTGGACCGCCCCCCCACCGCAGGCAGGCTCAGGGCCTTGCTGCTCGCTCATTGCTGAAAGGTGGGCCTCCTTTTCCTTCCTTCCAGGTTGGTCTGGAGGGCAGGCTGCGTGTGGATCTGGGCACAGGCAGGTCTCCTGGGGTGGTTGCTGCTTTTCCTTCAACACTGAGCAGGTGGATGACTTGCCAGATTCTCTGAGTCTCGCTTCTGTTTTCTGCCCATAAAACAGAAGTTAAAGCGTGTTTTGAACACACAACTGTTTTCTTTGAGGAAATTTGGTGAAAGAGAATGGGATTTTTCATAGTAATTGGTATTTTTCAGAGACAGATTTAGGGTTTGGAGAGTTCAAATGTTTTAAGGTCAGGTAGTAGATCAGAGGAAGAGATATTATTTTAAGGAAAAGTAAAGAACTTGGGGTTGAATAAACTTAGGTTGTCACTAAAAAGGCATCTCAGTATAAATATTTCAGTTTATATGTTGAAAGGCTTTTACATTGACACAAAAATAGCAAAGAGCCAGAAAAGCATTTTGGTTATTTAAAGTTTTTTTTCTTTATGGAACCTGAAGTTTTATGTATGGAAAAATGTTGCAAGATGATACAGTGTATTTGGCAATACTGCCCTTGGGCTGTGTGTCTTGTCCAGAGGAGAAGGCTGTGCGGGGCGGCGGTGCTGAGGCGCTGCGTGAAGAGCTGCGGAGAGCGAGGGCGCCCCCAGGCACACGGCTGGACTTGGACACGGCCCACGTCTTCTGTCAGTGGCAGTGTTGCCTGCAGATGGGGCTGTATCTCAACCAGCTGCTATCCACGCCTCTCCCGGAGCCAGACCTAACTCGGTAAGTAAGAACCAGGATACCGGTTCAGTGGCCACATGTCAAAGTTCTATTTACATTTAAAGCAAAGATTTTTTAACGAAATCAAATTTAGTATCATTGTTCGTGGATCACTGTTATAGCTGAAGAACTATAATGCTAAGTTTAAAAAATATTAAACTATTTGCATATTTCCAAAGAAAGTTTCCATGATTTTTTTTAAAGCTTTCCAAAAAATATAAAAAAAATAATAATCAGTTCCTTAAAGTAAATAAAAGTAAAGATAAGAGGCAGTTGTTTGTAAAGTATAACTCTTCCCCTCATTTCTTTCAGATATCACAGCATAAAGGCTTTTTCTGATGATCTTACTGGAACGTTCTCTACTTCCAGTCTCTGTAGTCCTGCTGCTCTTCTGTGTCTTTGTACTTGCATTTCTTGCCACTTGGCATATTATTATTCATTCATTCATTCAGATAGTAAATATTTACTCTGTGCTAGGGTGTAGCAAGCAAAACATCTAAAAAGTCTGCTGTCACAGAGTTTTTAGTGATGTGACTATTAGATGCTTATGTGGATTTTTTTGTCTGGGGCTTTTGTTTTGCCAGACAAGTACGAAGAAGGGAGAGACAGCCTGCATGCTAGGAAGTGGGTTAACGTTTGACAGTGGAGTGTAAAATGTGTAAGAAAAGGCTAGCAGTGGGCTGTGGGCCAGTAAAAAGGGTGGTAGGATCAATAGACTGGACATCTGAGTGATTTGTATATTTGAGGGAGTGAGTGAGAAAGATAAAAGGGAGATGGTTAGAAAATAGACTTGCAGTTACACATATCTCTGCACTTGATTATAAGCCCTGGGAGGGCTAAGGACTTGCTTGCTGTGTTCACTGTTATAGCCCCAGAGCCTTGCATTCAGTAAGTACTCATGTATTTGTTGAATAAATGAGTTTTATATGGAGGCATTTCATATATGCTGGTATGACTTGAAATGTTTCAAATTCAAAGCTTCCTAGCAGTAAAGACTGTTGTTAATGTTACTGAAGGTAAGTCTGTGTGCCTGACACACAGTGAGGCCAAACAATACCAGAATATTGGAGTTTGGAGCAGAGAAAAGTTTATTTCAGGGCCATGCAAGGAGATGGGGGGCTTGTGCCTTAAAAACCCGAAATTCCCCCAAAAGCTTTCAGCAAAGCCCTTTTATAAGGAAAAGGGAGGGAGGGCATGGTTAGTTGTTGCAAACTTCTTGGTGTCAGATCCTTTGTTCTTGGTCAGATCCTGATATTCCTGTACACTTGTAACAAAACAGTTGTTATTCTCTGTTTTGAGATAGGGAAGAGGAGACATTAAGTTCTGTTTCCTTGCTTCCTTGTGGCTTTTAACACCTAGTTCCTTAAGCAAAGCAATGGCATTACCCCTCATTTTACTTGTTCCAAGTCCCAAGGCTTGACTGTCATCCTCTGAGGTCCAGGCCCTGGCTAAGAGCAGAGGGTCCTCGCGTGGGCCAGTCCCCTGCCCAGGAGCGCTCGTCCAGCACCCAGTCGGCCCTCCCACCCACCTGGCTCAAGAGGCAGATCTCAGCTGCCAGGGCACTCAGGACCAGGACCCCAGGCCCTGCCCAGCCAGTCCTCAACCTGGGATTCGGAAAACACTGTGATCTACCTGTCCCCACATTGTCCTGGCACCCCTGCGACCCTGACTGTTGACAGAGCAGGACCTCTAACCACCTGGCTACCTCTCCTGTGCTGAGGCCCAGGCACCTGCCCCTCCCATTTCATGAGCGCAGTGCCTGAAGCTCTCGCTGCCAGCACGTCGGCCCATCACACCTGCCAGCTTGACAGCACCTGGGCCTCAGCTGCCCCCACGGACCCCCAGCAATCACAGGTGGCCACACAAACCTGCCAACCCAGCCAGGCCCTATTACATTAATATACCCTGGAACTTTCTACCAAATAAGATTAATTGCCCTTTGACCTATGGATTCTTTATTCCTTTCCTTTAATAATTTTGGCCATCCTTGACTGGATCCTCTCTAGTGACCATGGATCTGTTTAAAACAACACAGCAGAAACAGTTCCCTTAATAGTGATTTCAGCAGGAGAGTTGTTCCTGCATCTCAGCATCAAAGGCTCTTTAAGTGATGATTTATACTAAATAAATGGTGGGTCTCCATCAGTTGCTAAGGTACCAATCAACCCTGGCAGTAAGTTATATATTAAATCTGTGGCTTCCAGTTCATCTCAGCTTGTATTTGTGGAGTTTTTAATCCAAGTGAACCAATGACCTCACAAATGATGCAATTAAATTTTCTCGTATTTCAACAGCCTGTTTGTTTAGTCAGCGGCATTTTAACTCCTTTTCTTTGAAGTGTTAAGAGACCTGCTCAAGCTGGGGCCAGTTGCACAACCAGCAAGCACCCATCATTTACTTTGTAGATTAAAAGTTCTAAGTATTGCCAGCCAAGAAGTAATCATTATAACAATCCAGTTCCTTCTTTCAAGAAACAGACTGTCCTTGAGTAAGTAATAATGATTTTATAGAAGCAGTGCTCTCAGTATTTGATGCATCTGTTGAAGCCACGTTAGTGACAGCTGTCCCAGTGCAGGAGCCTCGGCTGTAATGATCCCCTCTCCTCTTCCCTGAGCAGACTGTACAGCGGAAGCCTGGTGCACGGGCTGTGCCGGCAGCTGCTGACGTCGGCCTCGGTGGAGAGCCTCCTGCACCTGTGTCCTGAGGCCCAGCAACTCTACGAACATCTGTTCAACGCCACAAGGTCCTGTGCCCCTGCTGAACTGTTCCTATCAAAGGGTAGATTAAATCCAAAAAGAAGAAAGCAGAAGAAATCAGGTATCAGCTCGTCAGAGAACAGAGTGGGAACCACCCTGAACGCTAGGAGTTGGCATGAAGGAAGCAATCGGTTTGAGCTGTTGATGGTGGAGACTTTGGAGAATGAGGCAGCCCCGGAGCTCAAATAAACTCAGTTATATAATTCTTATCAAGAATTTGTGTTACCTCCGTTGAAATGATAGAGTTTTTCTTTAGAATTAATCTGTGAGAGGATAAACATTGCAGTACTTTGAATCGCAAAGTATTTTGTATTCTGCTTTTGATAGTGATTTAAGTAAACTTTTTGTATTTCTTAAACACATGTGAAAATGTTTGTACTTGCCACATTCCACTTCAGTAAGTTAATAATAGTCTATAGTCTTCAAATTGCAGCAACTCAGTCCAAGCTGTTTTTTCAAAAAGAAGTCCTATGTCAGTTACTTCCTAAAGCTGAAACTGACTTACCATCCTTTAAAACAACTTTTTTACAACTATGTCTTCTTCATCCTTTATTAGGAAAGGTCTATGCCCTGGAAGATAGAAGCAGCCAGACAGAAAATGAGACTCTTAAGTACTTTGACAAGAGCCCATGGCAGGGCTGATGAGCACTTTTAGAACAGAAATTGAAACTGTAATGGTCCCAACAGTAGAAGAAACAGCATCCCGGTAATGGGATGTGCAAGTAATTTGATGTCATAGCCAGCATTTTTAAATGGAATTATCAGATACACATATCGTGGATTGTGCAACTTCTTACTGTGGACTGCAGTCAAGACTTTGAAAGGCACTGCTCTGGAACACACTAGAGGCTACCAACATTAGAAACACCTACAGAATGGTAAAGACATGGCCAGTTCTAAATAAAGAAAGTAGAAAAGCAAGTGGAATGAATATATTTGGGCAAGATCTGAGAGTATACTCCAACCTTAATTTTTTATCTATTCATGCAAATAATGTTCCTGCTGTCTTTACTATCTCATTGCTATATTCCATCAGCAGCTAAATGTGGTTTCAGCTGTTTTTTGAGCAGGCCTATCTTCAGTTATTTTTGTACTATTCATGGGGTTCTCATAGCAAGAATACTGGAGTGGTCGCCACTCCCTCCTCCAGTGGACCACATTTTGTCAGAACTCTCCACTATGACCCATCCATCTTGGGTGGCCCTGCACAGTATGGCTCATAGTTTCATTGGGTTATGCAAGCATGTAAGATCTCTGTCATATCAAAATCCTTGATTCTTGGAGCTGGGGGCCAGTGGAGAAATTATACTAGTAGCAGTGTCTTATTTCCTGGCTTATCATCAACACTGCTTTTTTAAAAATATTTTTAATTAGAGGATAATTGCTTTACAATACTGTGCTGATTTTTAAAACCACCAACCTTGCATGATAAGCCATTCTTTCCCAGTTCTGCTTTGGCAAGTGTACTGATTTGATAGGCCCCAAACTGAAGAGTGTAGGGCTACATAATTTGTGTAGGGCTACAATTCAAAATTGAATTGTATCATTTACCTTTTTCTTTCATTAACAGGAATTTTTCAATCGAAGGAGCCTTCCTTCTTTCAGGAGACATAAGAAAACAGGTTCCTTTCTTTCACTGTTGGAATTAGGGCCATTCACTTGAAACTATCTAGCCTTGCAGTAAAGTTAAAATCTAATAATGTCCATTAACTCTTACTCTGAGAATTCAGGAAAGTTACCTACTCTGGTATGTATCTTCTCCTGTGTATATTAAGCAAGAGGTCACAAGTGCTCCACAATACATCCGAGGGGGTTTACCAAAGAAATATGACATAGTACCTGACCCCCAAAGTCATACTTGTGTAAGCTGCAAGGGGAGGTGAGACAGTGAAATAATGAGAACATTTTATGATGCAGTTCATCAGATGCAAAATGGCGAAGTACAGACGGAAGGCTACAATCAGGAGAGAGCAGCCATGAGGACAAGGAGGCAAAACCTGAGGATTCTCAGATGTGGCTTTTGAGCTTGGCTGTGAGAGAGGGATGTAATTCAGAGGAAGTACGGGAGGGGCTGGGAGCACGTGTAGACCGTCACATACTCCACTTGGAAAACCTGTTTCCTATGTTTTTTAATCAAGTCTTTAGACCTTTCTCTTTCTGATTTAGTTCTAGCTACTGAAATTTCACTTGAGTCTTTGGGGATGTTACGTCTTCAATTAGCAATTTAAGTGATAAAAAGAACTTTGGACAGCTAAGATCAATAAATTTTAGGAATAAAGCTGGAGAGAAAAAAACACTATAATATGAAGTTGTTCTCTGTTTAGCAGTGATTAAACTTTTGTACAAGTCCTTTTTGAGATACGTGAATGTGGAAAGTTGAATGTGTATATCCTATAAATATAAATTTAAAGGTCTTAATAATTAAAACAGAAAAGGAATTTAAATTAATTTCATATTTGAATTTCTAACTCAAACCAATCAGTTTTAGAAGCTAGAAAGATCTTACAGTTATCTTTTCCTCCTCTGTGCATAAAGTAAATGAACCAATGACTATATCTCAGTTACCCTATCTGCTGGAGTAGGAAATGGCAACCCACTCCAGTATTCTAGCCTGGAAAATTCCATAGACAGAGGAGCCTGGTGGGCTACAGTTCTTGGGGCTGCAAAGAGTTGGACACAACTGAGCATACACACACACCCTATCTGTAAAACTGGAGTCAGAATAGTTCACATTGTTGTCCAAGGGATAAAATGATGTGTACTTTTTAGTTAGCACAGTGGCCAGCACTAAAAACATGCCACAAATGACAGCTATTATTAAATCCACCCCTGAGAGCCAAGAGCAAAGCAAGGGCTCTGGGAGAAATGAGGGTGTTGGGCAGAAACATAAGGCATCGTGAAACCAGTGGCTGCCAGAGCGCATGGCAGACTCTTGCAGAGGCAAAGCAGGTCAACGTTGTTAAATTAGTGTCTGAGTTGAGGCTGGCAAGAACGTGAGAACATGAGTGCAGCTTTAGCAGAGCTGCCAGGCTGAAGCCACACTGGAAAGTGGAGAAGTGCCGGGAGGGTGCGAAGCAGCAGCCAAGCTCAACTCCAGGAAACAATGAATAAAGACCAGAAGGAACAGGCCCTGTGTGAGAATCGTGCTGCTTCTGTCCTTTTTTCTTGTTATCGAGGAATTTGTTTTTAAACCCAATTTGAAAGACTTCAGGATGTGTTTAGAGAGGAGAAAATTAGGAGCAAAGTGTTACCTTTTCCTGGTAACAGCTGCAAAGGTTATATCCTGGCCCTGTTCCAGAACCCTAAGAAGACCAAACAGTCTCCCACATAGTGAGGCTTCCTGAGCACTGCTCTCTAGCACATGCTGTTTGACTGGTTTGCACACCACGAACCAGGCAGCCCCCAGGAATCACTCACAAGACCAGGAGAAATAATTCCACTTCTGTAAAAGGGCAAACTCTCACTAGTATCTGACTCCAGACACAGTGACCCTGGATTCTTAGTGCGGAGTTAGTGGAGTACTCAGTATTTATCCCATAATGTCTTTCATTGGTGCATTTCAAGCAGGGCGGCTAGAAATGATTCTGTACTTGTACCAATTTAAAATGAAATACTCTCTTTAGGAGAGATGTCCATTAAAAAGATGGCTCTCCACTTGTAGCAACAGCTTTCTGAGCCATACAGGATACATTGCTTTAGCATTTCTTCCCAGGTCTGAATAATGCTATAATTCCAGCCCATCTAGCTGTAATAATTCTAAGATGAGAACTTCCTGCTGAGGAAGAGCATTTTAAATTTCAAAGGCATAGACTGCCCCCAGGCAGTGTACCAGTCTGTTAAAATGGGAGAAAGAAATGAAGAGGTAAAACATGGAGAACTGTTCCAGCTAGTTTCAATGGATTTGGTGTTCAGGGAGAGAAATTCCATATGTTACATATGCACATACAATCACTTTTTTGGGTTTTTTTTTTTTTTTTTTTGCCTCACCATGTGGCTTGTGGGATCTTAGTTCCCCAACCAGGGACTGAACTCAGGCAACACCAGTGAAAGTGCCAAGTCCTAACCACTGGACCACCAGGGAATTCCCCCACATGCAATCACTTTTATTCCTAACTAGTATAGGTAACATTTTAGGTATTTGATTAATATAGCTAAAGTTTTGATTAAAATAGCTAAATTGTATATATTCTAAGAAATTTTCCCATTATCACTTTAGGAGATACTTGGGAGATTTCTGTGTACAATATAACCCACTATCATTAGGATCAAGGAATACCTAGGAATGTTTTTGCAAAAAATAATAACAATGTATCAATACTGGATTTTTGATAATTTGTAAGACTGAATCATTTGTGTGAAAACATTATAACCATCACATGAGCTAGCATACAAGATTGGAAAAACTTTTCACACATGTTGATATATATATGTATATATAAGAGGGCTTTTTGGAGGATTAACTGAAGTGCTTATTCTTCTTGGAAAAACTGCTCTGTGTGTATCCAGCCATCACCCCCCTCCCCATCTTCCTGTGTCTGGCTTATGTGTGTACCTTGTAACAAGGGAATAAATCAAAGGATGTTGACAGTAAAAACAAGTCTGCTCTGCAGGGTCTCAATGCATGCTGCCATGGATGCAGAGTAAGGAGCTCTATTTCAAAACAGGTGGATTAATCTACTTATTAAAAGTGTATTTCTGCTATGGAAACGTTTTTTGAGTAAATACATATTAATATTACTAAAAAAGTGGAGTTAATAAAATACCAATGAGAACTGCTATAAATCACTGTTTAAACTGCTATAACAACACAGCATTTTTTTTATTAAAAAGAAAAAACCTTATTTTCAGATTTCCTATTCAGCTGTCATTCAGTATTTCTATAGGACGGGGTGGAGTTGAAAATGAGGGAACTGGGGGTTCTGTTGTGGACTGTTGCTGTTTTTTAGTCTCTAAGTCGTGTCCAACTCTTTTGCAACCTCAAGGACTGTAACCCTCCAGGCTCCTCCACCCATGGGGTTTCGCAGGCAAGAATACTGGAGTGAGTTGCCATTTCCTTCTCCAGGGGATGTTCCCAACCCAGGGATTGAATCTGCGTCTCCTGCATTAGCAGGTGGATTCTTTACCACTGAGCCACCAGGGAAACCTTGGTGGATATGTTAAGTTAAACATAGCTTTTAGGTGCTTAAATAGAAGCTAAATTAGAGTCCTT